TATCAGCATGCAAAGAGGCTTACAAGTTACTGTAAGAGACAACCTCGTTTTACTGGATCCCAATTTTACACACGCCTAAAGGAGGGAAGTTGGTGGGCGAGCTCCCTGCGGGTGGGAAGCTCGGGCCTGGCTCCTCGGTCCTGCTCGCCCACTCTCCCAAGCCCTGTTTCCTTCTCAACCGCACACTTGCTCTACCCACGGGGTCCGAGACGGCAGCGGGAACGCGGTGCGAGAGGGCCAGGCCGGAGGACTGAAGTCCCCCCGAGGGCAGGAACAAGAAGCCCAAGCTCTCAGCGAGTGGCCAAACCCCCGGCTCGATCGAAACCCGGAAGACTTTTGCTAGCCGGCCTGGGAGAGGAGGGTGTGGCCGAGCGCCGGTCGCCGCGCCGGGGGCGGGGCTTGAGCGATTGGAGGCGTGGTTTGCATGGCCGGGGCGGAGCCAGGGCGGCCGAGCCGGGCCTGGGCGCTCCGAGCTTCCCCGATAGGCGGGCTGGTGGGCGTGGCGACGTCGCGTGACGCCATAAAATGGGCGGAGCGAGGGAGTAATAAAGCCGGCCGGAGGGCGCGCTCGGCAGTCGCTGGCTGAGCTTTTGATCGGCTGCTTTGCTGTTTTGCTGTCTCGGTCTCTTCCCGGAGCCTGAGCCCGAAGAGGCACGCGCGTGCGTGCGTGCGTGTGTTGTGCGAGGGACAGCGAGACTCGGGCCGGGAGGTTCCCGGCTGCCTCTTTCCCTTAGCCCAGGCAGCGGCAGTCCGCACCCTTGTTTGCTCGCCGCCCACTCGGTGTGCGGAGTGCGTCGCCTTTTTGATTTTGGAACTTGTGAGCTGTTTTTTTTTTTTTTTTTTTTTTCCTTCCTTTTGGCTTGGTGCCTCCAGGGCTGGTCTCCCCGGCCCTTGCCTAACCGCTTCTGACCCCTGGTCACCAGCCCCGCCCCAGGTTGCTCCCCCTCCCCCGGCTCTGCCCCTTGGCCCCGGAGGGTGGGAAGCTTTGCCCAGCGTAGCCGCACCTGCCTCAGTATGCTTGGGGTCAACGACCCTCCGCTTTTTATAAAAGACATTAAGGCCGGACTGAAAAACTTAAATGTCGTCTTTATTGTCCTGGAGATAGGTAAGTGGGATCCCCAGCCCGCCCCACGCCCTCGAGCGCTCGGACTTCTCGCCCCCGCCCGCACCCCCACGTGCTCCCAGCCGCCCTAGGCCGGACTCGGCTCCTACCCCGGGACAGAAGCCAGTCCTGTACCGTGTCCTAGGCGGGTGAGGCAGCTGCCCCGAACGGCCTCGTTATCTAACACATCTCTCTCCCTCCCCTTTGGATTTTTATAAATCTTCACAGGACGCGTGACCAAAACCAAAGACGGCCATGAAGTGAGATCTTGCAAAGTAGCAGATAGAACGGGCAGCATCACTATTTCTGTGTGGGATGAGATCGGAGGGCTCATACAGACCGGGGATATTATTCGGTTGACCAGAGGGTAGGTGTGCTTAAATTGGGGTTAGGTGCGGGGTTGGCCGGGTTATGGGGTCCTGCTGAGTTCTTAAGTTGCCTGGCTCTTCCATGGGCCACTTCAAGAAGCTGTAAGCTGTTTTTGGTGGGCAGAATTGGCCTCAGCTCACCTTTTGCGGCTAAGCGTATTTCAGGTACAGAACTAACTCCTCACCTCCAATTGGAAAGGTTCTTTGTATTTTTTAGAAATACTGTATGTGAGTTCGTGAGCCTTTTTAGTAGGCTATTAAGACTGCACTACCTTTGTAATCGGTCCATACATTTGATACAGTGTCTTCCAAATCCTTCCCTTTTTAGTGCCTTGAAGTCCTGTCAAGTTTTTGTTTAGGTGGTATGGGCATAAACTCAGTAGCTGGGAATTTTGCTCTTTTATCTTCCTTTTTTGGAAACAGTGTCTCCTGTATTCCAGGTTGTTTTTGAACTTTAAGATGTCCAGGAGAAAGAGCTTGAACCTCTGACCTACCTGCCTCCACCGCCCAGGTGGTGGGATTACAGGCATGTACCCAAATGTCCTGGGGATGAGCCAGAGGCCTCCTGCATGCCAGGCAAGCATTCTGCCATCTGAGTCCTAGTTTGAACTTAACATTTTCTGTGGTCATATTTGTACTCAGAAAAGGTGAAGACTGTGTCTCAAATGATTGTGGAAATGATTTCTTCTGTGAGATCAGTGTTCTCACCCCCTCCCCAAACCCCCAAATACACAAGTGGCAGAGGGTGTCTGATACCTTCAGACCAAACGTTTAGCTGGCTACAGAGGTGGAGCACTGTTTTTCATCAGCTTGTACACTTTTCCCCAAATGTTAGTCGTAAGAAAAGGCCAGAAAAGAATCTGAGAAATCTGAAATTCTACGTGATGAGAATTGTACTGATTTTATTGGTCACTACCAGGAAGATAGTTGGCAGTTGACGTTGGCTCAGAGAAGCCTTAAGTTCCCCAGTTCCCCGGGCAGGAGCTCTTTGACACTGTGGTGCAGGCCTTGCAGCATTTTCAGGAAGTGAGGTAGAGTGTCATCAAAGCAGGAAGTGAGAGTCAGGACTCAGACATCTTATTCTCAAACACTGAGTCATTGTGACACGATACTACATCTTTGTCACTTCGGCCAAGAAGAATTCCTTCTTTGGAGGCTATGGTGAAGACCATAACAACCACAACAATAATGATAGCAGTAAATATCTATTATAGGCCATATTTAAGCCATGAGGTAACCTTGGTGGTTGAACAAAGAAACATTGAAGACCCAGACTTTGGTCTGATTCTGGAGGCGAGAGACGTGGTGTTCTGGGGAAGCACACACTGCTGTGCCTAAATTATCAGTAGTTGGCACAGGGGAGCTGCTTTGCCGTCAGTGAGGACTTGCTCTCATTGGTCAAGTTCTCCGCATTATCTTTTAGAAGAAAATGTTACACTTTCTCGAACTGTTGGACTGCAGTTAAAATTATTTTAGCCGGGCGGTGGTGGCGCACGCCTTTAATCACAGCACTCGGGAGGCAGAGGCAGGCGGATCTCTGTGAGTTCGAGACCAGCCTGGTCTACAAGAGCTAGTTCCAGGACAGGCTCCAAAACCACAGAGAAACCCTGTCTTGAAACCGCCCCCCCCAAAAAAAATTATTTTAAAACACAGGCACCTAATTTCAGCAGAAGGGACGCTTGTAAGATCCTCTGCATTGCACGTTTAGAGGCAAACACGCATTTTCTACGCTCTGTAGACTTCTCCATTTGGAGCTCAGTTAAGGGAAAGAGGAAGGGAGAGGAAAGCTAGGCAACAGAGGAGTTAAAGTGGGTTCTGAGGAGGAGCTTCAGGCAGCGGAATTTGAGTGTCTGTGTTGAGTTCTTCCTGATTCAGCCTTCCCGGTCAGATCAGTTTGCCTTCCTTTTGCTAGCCCCACGCCTGGCTTTCCAGTTCTTCCTCCTGAGGCTGCGACAGGAAGTGGCTAGGGTTACTGGGTGACAGAGCAAGGTCAAGCCCAGCCCACACAGCTTAGGGAGCTGTCTGAATAGAAGGCTCTTATTAAAAACAGGATCTGGGAGCCCAGCTTAGTGGCTGAGTGCTTGCTGAGTATGTGTAAGGAAGGCCTGGTTCAGGGTCCAGCAGTGCTCAACATTTTCTCCTAGGGTTATAGTTGAGATGATTACGTCATAATGTGGCAGTAGAATTTTCTTTGTATCAGTTCTCAGATGAGTTACACGGGCTGTATTTGACTCGGCACGGTGGGTCGAAAGGTTGGATTGCACTTGTATCTAACACAGAAACACACTGGAAATGAAATGGAGCTCTGCGGTCTTCTGAAAACCCCATCTGTTCTCCCCCCCCCCCAGGTATGCATCAATGTGGAAAGGGTGCCTGACCCTTTATACTGGAAGAGGCGGCGAACTCCAAAAGATTGGAGAGTGAGTATTGGGATACGTTTTGTGTGACTAAGTTTCCAATAATGTCAGCAGAATAATTGGTGCAAACTCTAAACTGCCTACTTAGCCTAGCACACTCTTGATTCCTGCTGTAGGGAGGTCACTGGATTAAACCCTGTCAGTCCTCAGGTGTGTTGAGCAGCCCCAGTGGGGCCGGCCCTTCCATTAGTGTCCTGTGTTAGGGATTACAGGATCTGGCTAGAGATGCCGTGCGTACGGAGAAGTTACAGTAGTGGAGATCGGCTCAGGGAAGAACCACAGGAAGTCGCCCACTCACTGGTGGCTCGTCTTTGTCGGGGTCAATTTAAGACGGTTCCAGACTGTGTCTAGTTTCTTTTTAAGAGTTGAAGAGCTAAGGAAACCCTGTGTGAACAGGGTGCCAAGTTGTGTTGTCAGTTACAGAAGCCCTGGGCTGACGCGGTGGCTTGATGGCCAATTATCTGTCTTAGTCATGTAGAAGTTATTCTTTGCCTTTGAGTCTCTTTGCAGATTCATGGTGAACAAGAGGGATCGTGAGAGAATCAAATAATTGGGTGTTAATTCAGGATATAGTTATCTAGGGGATTTTTTTTATGACAAATTAATTGGATTAGCTTGCTAATGTTAAGGTAATTCTTTGACACCGAAGGTTTTCATTCTTGTAAGTTGAGGAGGTTATACAAAAAAACGTTTGGAAATCATTCTACTTGGCCTTTGCTTTGTTGCAGATTTTGTATGGTGTATTCAGAAGTGCCGAATTTCAGTGAGCCAAACCCAGATTACAGAGGGCAACAGAACAAAACGGTAATTAATCCAAGTACATGGTATATTGTTATGGTTGAGTTAATTCTGTCGGTAGGCTAAACCTCTCTGATGTCCAAACTGTGACAAAGGAATTGTGAAACAATCTTGAGGATTTGGCTCAACAGATAGACTTCTTGCCAAGCTTGCGTGACGGCCTGGGCTCCGCCCCCCTGGGGCTCCGCTCCCCAGTTCTTTACCAGACTGGCATGGTGGTACAGGCCTGAAGTCCCGTTTCTCAGGAGGTTGGAGATAGGAGGAAAGGTCAAAGTCATCCTTAGCTACATAGCGAGTTTGACGAGTTGGGGACTATGAGACCCCGGCTCGACAGAAGAAATCTCTAAAGTAGCTTTTATTCCATAGATTCTGTGAGTCCGTATGCTTTGTAACAATAGATAGAGGTGCTGTTTAGTATTTTGCAGAGTAAAGGTAATAATCAGGAAATACTGGGTGTAATAAACGCTATTAAGAAGGCTTGGGTAAGATTTCTGAATGCCTTAACATTGCATGAACTTAGACAAATCATTAAATATCGTGGAAAACCACTTTTGAAGCCTTAAAAGTAAAAAAAAAATATATATATATATTTTCTACGTGTGTTACTTCTGTCTTCATTTGCTGAACTTTAAAACTTGTTTCAGGTGGAGAATGAGAAGGATAAAGCGAGCGTCAGTGCGTTTGGACCACTGGGTAAGACTTTGTCCATGTTTGTGATGACGTGCAAGCATTCCGGGAACTATGAAAAACGTAAAGGGAAAATTCTAATTTTGTGTTAGATGGGAACGCCAGGGTAAGCAAGGATACTCAGATAAGTGATTCTGCAGAAGGTAGAGGGTGCTTGTCCAGGCCGAGTGTTGAGCACCCTCTGTATTTAAACCCTGCTCTCTTGATTAGTAAGAAGACTATTCCTGGTAACCCTCAGACAGATCTTTTATTTTTCTGTGTTTACAAACACATATGATGTAGTGGCTGTTGATAATCTGTGCAGAATTGCTAGGTCTTCCGGCGCACTGGGACCTGTCCAGGAAAATTGCGGCTGGTGAGACAGAGCAGCCTTTCTCCCGCAGACCTCACTGGTGATTGCCAGAGCCTGTGTCTTTTGGGAAGCATCCTTCTGTGAATGGAGTTCATTAGGGCAGCTGAAGGCTTTTGTAACCAGCTCACCTTGTGGGAAATCTGTCTGCCAATAGTTTGATCACTGTGTTTGAGTCAAGCCCTAGTTCTCAAACAGTTCTCTGCCCCTCCTCTGGTTTACATACAGACAGCTACTGATTTTTTTTATACTCTATTCCTAATTAGGTTTTCTTCCTTCTGTTCATTCAGTACCGAGGTCATGTATTTGGTAAAACAGAGGCCCAGAGCCCACTTTTTTTCCTTAGAATAAAAGTGTTTGTTTCCTGTGACATTTATAAGCTTTTACTGTGTGTAAGACCTTTAAATGATTGTGTTTCTGTAGCACAATATAGACCACTTCTGAAAATGATGCTAATTTTTTTGAATTCTTATCGCAGGAAATGGTATCCAGACTGGCCCTGAATCAAGAGGATATCATCTTCCATATACTGGTAGAAGCAATGGCCGGGACCCCATCAATCCCCAGCTACCAGGAGCTCGTAGTAGTCAGACAGTCATGACCACAATCAGTAATGCCAGGGATCCAAGGAGAGCCTTTCAAAGATGACCGGAACCAAAGAGACACATGTAGTTGCTAAACTACCTGCCCTACTTGAACACTTAGTGCACTTTTTCATTGTTAACTGTGAAAAGTTTGTCTCTTACGGGTTTCCTTGTATATTTTTGGTTTGTTGAGAATGGTTGGTTTTTTACTGCAAGCGTTAAGCTGCTCGGTTACATCCTTCCTATTGAAGAATAGGAACTCTGAAAGCAGGAACATTTATTTTTAGAGCCAGAACTTACTGGGTATCACTTGAAAACCTGTCCCTGTTTCAAGGGTGAGTTGCTTAAGACACCAGCCTTATATAGCCGTGGTGAGTCTTCTCTGCCATAGCGTTTCATGGAAAAATGTTCTTTTGTCTTAAACTGGGCTATGTCCAGCTGAAGTGATCTCCACCCCAGCCAGAAGCCTGACCAGTGCTGGCAGCAGTTTGAGTGCTTGTGACCCAGCCGTGGCTGACTGCCTGAAGTGACTGGCCTGCCGATAAGATTTGTCCAAGGACGGAATCATCCTACATTCTTGTTCAATTACCAGAGACCCAGATTCTTTATCGGAATTACGGAATAAAACTTGTAATATATAACAAGTTATCTTTAGAGGAAAACTGTTGAAGATGATAACGTTCTTACCATTTGTTACAAACACTGAAGAAAAGTTTACAGCGGAGTCCTTGAATGTTTTCTTTTTGAAACGACCATGTGGCTGGGTGGGAACTCATAGACCAGGTGGGTCTCTGAACTCCAGAGCTTCCCGTCTCCCTCGCCCAGGTGCTGTGGTGAAGTTGTGCACCAGCACCCCTGGCTGGCCTTACTAAAAACAAACCACTTGTAGATAAATGACAGTCATGTGACTATTACAGGTCATCAGGTAGAAGGAGAAATACTGGGGTGGGCACGGCCTCTCTTCTAGAGGAGTGTGTGTGCGCTTTAGTTTCCGAACCCAAATCCCAGCCTTATAAGCTAGGATAAATAGCTTAAGAAGTATGTACCTCGATTGCAGACGGTAGGGTGGGGGCTGTGTGTCCTGATGTCTTGTTCTGTGAGGACACAGTCCAGTTCCCTGAACCTGCAGCAGCTCCGGTCTGGCTGCTCCCCAGCTCTTCCCTCACCTCACACACGGTCCAATAACTACGTTTCTATTCAGGTTCTGTAGCATTTCGGTACAGCCGGGTTTTGTTCTCATCCGTTTAACAGATTTTCAGTTTGCAATGTATGAGGCTCCTCATGGAGATTATTATAACAGTTGAGGATGCAGGGAATTTACCTATGGTTTATAGGTGCAGGGCCTTGATGTTATAGATAGTTGGTCGTTTGTTCATACGTTAATAATTATAGCTAATTTTTATTTTGTGATTTTTTTTTTTATGATTTTTGTCTATACTGCCGAGTGCTTCAAAAGAAAGTTACCTAAGAGTAAAAGTAAGCTTGTGTTTTGTAATGACAGATGTTTTAAATAAAAATAATTTACAAGTTAATGTTGACACTTATTAAGAGGTAGGAGCAGCAGTACCTTTATGTGTGGAAGATGTGGTGTTGAAGGTAATTCTAAAGAAGGATTTGAACTTTGACAGATTGAAGTATGGTAAGGTGTGGATCGTTAGACCCTCCATTCTAACTGCATTTTCTTCCAACCTGTGGTACCCAGGCAAGTCATGATTAGGAAAAACAGCGGTACTCCTGAGGAGTTAGGACTTGGATGTAGGGAATGACAATGACTTCCGGTAAATGATCAGTCAGATCTCGTATGGTCAGAATGTTAATAGAGGGAATAACCAGGTTCCGTGTGGAGGTGTCTGTGTGCTCTGCAATACTGAGATTAAGTAGAACATGGCCTAAGATTTTACTTACGAATGACGCTTCTCTCAGTAATTTGACATGTTTATGTGGTTTGATGTATTTATTAACAAGTTTCTTTTTTCTTAAGGAACACTTCCAAAACCAAAGCCAAGTGACATCCAAACAGTAGTGACTAACTGCCTTCCCGGTCTGCTTGGCTGCCGCTGTCAGGAAGTGATGGAAGAAAGTGTCCGCCTTCCTCCTCTGACGCCATCCGGCAGCTACCAGCGTTAACACACCTTTCAACAAGACCCAGTGGAACAAAAACCATTAGTGTAGAAACGTATTTCTAGGGTTGGGTGCCCCATTGTTTCCAGGAGCGGTTCTGGAGTGGAGCAACAATGTATGATCGGGCCAGCTTGTCCCTTTTGTCTGGCCATGTGCTCAGAGTTGCCACAAAGTGGTCCAAAAACACTTAAAAGGTCCAAGAATGTCCAGATAGCCAACACTCAAGTTTGCCTGCACAGAAGCACTTAACCAGCCCCAGGTTTCCTATACCGTACCCACTCCCTGTTGGACTCTTTCTCCAGTCTTAGTAGCGTGGTGTTAAAAACTTGAAGAGGGGTTGCTTTTAGAGTGTGGTTGGAAGGTTAGCTCGCCATCTATATATTTTAAGCTGTGCAGCCCAGTAGTACAAACAAGCACCGCAGTTTCCATTTACAGAGGCTCTGACGCACGGTGCCGAAATGCTTTCCTTCTTTGGTGTCATTAGCGTGCTGGCTGCTGGCGTGAAGCCAAGCTGTGTGTGTGTGACTCGAGGTTCCAGCGATGACTGGGAAGCCCCGGAAGCTACAACACTTTTCCCAAACAAGCCTATGCCAAGCGCTAAGCTCACTGAGGCCCTCACCTGTGACCGCTGTTAATAGATGAGGATCGGATGGTAGCAGTCATTTTCTGTTACAGGGACGGCAGGAGGGGGTTGAGGGCAGAGAGAATCGGCTAGTGAGGTCTTCACATGCCGAGGTTCTAGATGGGGGTGTACAGGGAGCGGTTAAACAGTTCACAAAGCAGCTCTAATGATTAACACTTGAGGCATGCTTCTGCTGACGCCATATTGTGACCTTTGAAAACAGCCCATCGCCCAAGGAAGAAGCTAGAAAATGGTTTTCTAGGCATATTTCTCTAGATGCCTTGAAGTTTGGTTTATTGAGAATATGCTAGAATTTGGATTCAAAGGCTGTAGTCAGGTTTCTGAATGAACAAAGACCTGATAATTCTGAAGCCACGGAACACAGACTCAAAATCAATTCCAGTGGGGAAGAGACAGAAATCTTTAATTAAAAAAACCAATTCCATTAAGTTATTAACAAGCATTTGTGCACGATAACAGACCTGAAGAATTTTTTTCTTAACCTTTATGAGGTGTTCAGTGTAATATTTAACATTTCAGCCAATAGGTGTTGAAGTCCTTTGAAGAGTCAAGATACACAACCCAAAACGGTAGGGTGTGCCCTGAGCACTGAGGTCGAGCTGACAGTTCACTGCTGACCTGTAGTCTTTTAGATCCGCACACGTATTAACACACACTGAGGTGCTATTGGCATGCTTAAAAAACCCGTGCCTACCATTTCCAGATAAAGTTAAAGATCATTGGTATTTAAAAATTCATGCCCATCTGGATTCAAGCTAGGCTAGCTTTCTTGTCACAGACTGACTATGGAGTAACCTTGAATACATGTCAGGTAAAGCTCAGATAACAGACGTGGAGCTTTTCAGCGCTATGAACTGCCCTCTGACCTGGAAGGAAGCTTGGGTTGCAACCTGCGTCAAACACTTGGACATCTTTGTCTCCTGTCCTTGCCCATCTCCCTTTCACAGTGAGACAGCGTGACTTTAGGATTGTTCTCTCATTTCCTTCTGTGTAAATCTAGAACATAGAAATTGTATTGAACAGGGAAAGATGTGCTTAGAAGGATGTTTCTCTAAAGCACAGACTGACGATGGCCTGAAGCAAGTGCTTCTGAATAGAGATCATTAGGCCCTCTACATGGGAATGCTGGAAATTGTAAATTTGGTTCAAACAGAACAGAACCCTTCAAATTACACCAAAGCTGAGCTCAGATCTCCCTGAGAGGAGGTTTTTTTTTTTTTTTTTTTTTTTTTTTTTTTTTTTTTTTTTTTTTTTTTTTTTTTTTTTTTTTTTTTTTTTTTTACTGTGGCTCAGGCTGGCCTAGAGCTGCCCAACTTAAGAATAGATCTCTGAGGAGGAGCAGCATGGGCTCACTGACCTATATCTAGTTAAAACCGACTTTTCCTCCCTGAAAAGGAGGGTAAAACTTAAAGCACATTTTTTAAAAAGCTTTGCTCAGGAAGTGAATGTGGCATCTCAAAACTCTTGTCACTCAACTCAATATGAAAAAGTGAATATAAAAACAGGCTCAGAGGCATTGACGTTACTGGGGATGCGGAGGACACACCATCTCCACCGTCAGGTCTCAGTCCCATCTTAAGCACAATTCCTACCTGAGTTTGAAATATTTAGCCCTAAGACCAAGAATTCTGACCAGTTGGGCTACTTGAGCAAAAACTGTCTGCGCTAGAGCCATCTACTGGAGTTACTGAGTAGTATCTGTGAACAAATCTGGCTTAGCTAAGGTGAGAAGAGGGTCCACTATTCCATAGGGTAACAATTTTTATTGGCTTTATTCAGGAAATACATGACATTAAGAGGTAATCATAGCAAATAGGCAATAGAAAATTCCCTATAAGCGGATCAAATATCGAACTGTCTCAAAGATACAGACAAAAGCAAGATTGCCGCCAGGGCGGTGGTGGCGCATGCCTTTAATCACAGCACTTGGGAGGCAGAGGCAGGTGGATCTCTGAGTTCAAGGCTAGCCTGGTCTACAAGAGCTAGTTCCAGGACAGGCTCCAAAGCTACAGAGAAACCCTGTTCAAAAAACAAAACAAAAGCAAGACCGCCAAGATTGTTTTTCAAATTGTGTTTTACCTGATGTTTAGCTGTGCATCCATCCTATGTGTGACCGGTGCCCGCGGAGGTTAGAAGGGCATCAGATACCCTGGAACTGCATTTGGACATGGTCCTTGGCTGCCATTTGGGTGCTGAGAACTGGACCAAGTTTGCTGCAAGAGCAGCAAGTGCTCTTAACCACCGAGTCCTCTCTCCAGCCTTTACTGGCAAGTCCTAGGATTAGTGAAAACCGTCACTAAAGATGCCTTTTGTTGAGAAGGAAGTAGAGCCTGAAGTTGCTCTTAGGAGCTAACCTATTACTCAGTGATGTTTTATGACAAATGGCTGGTTCATGCTGTTGTATGAAAACTTTGCATATCAAAACTCACATGTCAGAATGTAACGTGAAAGCATGGTTTTGAGTGGAGGAGCTCTTGATTTGAGTCTTCCGTTTGCTGTTTACCAAAGCCACGACACGAACCTAGCTTAGGACAGTGGGGCAGTCAAGCCCTGTGTGAGGAATCCGAGCCAATTTGTACAAAGCATCTCTATATCCAAGACTCAACAAACACAAAGGCCCTTATGGCTATAGGAAGTAAGACAAATGTTATCATTCCTCCATGCATTTGGAAAGAATTCAGACAATATCCAACTGAATATTAGGAGATTTCCGTGAATTTAAAAGAAGAGTTTTTGGGGGTGGGGCGTATGCAGCCCGGACTGGCATTGAACTCTTGATCTTCCTTCCCCCTTCTAAGGCCTGAATCATCATGCCCAGCTCCAGGGAGTAAATTTTAAGTTTTTGCACCTTTCCCTGGTATAGAAAAGCACCTTACATCACTGATCTACTGCAACAAGACATAGGGTTGGACTTGCATTACAAAGATCTGACCAACTAACTGGTCAAATGGACCAGGCTTCATTCTCCTTTGCCCAAGAGGGTCCCGGACCTGCTTAGGAATGTGTAGTAGAAGAGGGACTTCCTGTGGGCGACTGTTGGGGCTAGAGGACCAGGTCAGGGGCTTGGGACAAGCAGCAGGCACAGTAGGAGGTGTTCCCACTTACATGACACTACCGCTGTGCACTTGCACACAAAGCAATTTATGACAAAATATAGAATACGTTTCTCAGCATTTTATAAGATGCTGCATGTTACAGACACCTGTTCTCGCTACCTGCCTTTTGTCTTAGCATCTCACTTTCTGTGTTTCACAGTCAATCCATCTGAATCCGTTTCGGACAGTATTATTTTTCTTGATATTCCAACATGGCTATTCATTGGAATTTTCAAGTTTTAGTGTAAAATTTATATACAATGAAATGTACCTATTTTAGGTGAACTTCACGGCTTTTTTAAAAAGTGCCTTACACTTAAAAAACCCTCTAGAAATTCTTTGCTGTGCTTCTCAACACCTATAAAACCAATGCTCCCTACTAGCCATCAATCAATGTTAAAATTTTTTTTTTTTCGATTTAAAGGGATTTATAGTTTTAGATTCCTACCTGGAGGCCCAAGCCCTCAGGGCAGACAGTGCTGAGCTGGAGGCGGAAGCCAGAGGACCTGCTTAGCAGTGGCAGAGGGACGGGGGACGGGCACACCACTCTGACCGCTGGAGGTCTCAGCTAGGACCCTGCGGTAGGACAGGGCACCAAGTCTGGGATGGAAAGATGAGAGCAGAGCATTGCCTAGAAACTTCAGAGTTTTCAGTACAGGTCCTCGGCTCGATTCCCAGACTGTGTGTGTGTGTGTGTGTGTGTGTGTGTGTGTGTGTGTGTGTGTATGGCGTACGAAACAAACACCCTGTGCTGTTCTGTGTTCACATTCTTGGAGTCCCGAGGTTTCAAACATGGACGAGTACTAGGTTTGCCAGGGATAAGAAGCCATTTGAGGAACTTCCGGGACAGCCTGCCACCTAGCAGACAGAGTCAATCTGTAGTTTATCCGGCTCCAGCTGAGGTGCCAGCCTCCTTGCGTCCCGCGATGTGAAGAACAGGACAGGCTGATCCGGCAGAACAGCTGATCTGGAGAATCCTAAGTGCACACCAGCGTCTGTGCCTTTTTGAAGTGGTGTGCTATCCGTGGCCAAAGCTAGCAGAAAATAAGACATGCTCCCTTGTATTAGCTTAATATTGCTCATGCTGTTTGTAATTCTATACTTAATATCTGTTTT